ATAAACCACACACACACACACACACACACTCACACCAGACACCGAACATAACAAACCCTTCGGCATGAACACACATAGTAGCCTCCGTCTCTAACACACACACACACACACACACACATGCATGATGGTTATTAATAGAAGACGCCACTATGGAGGGAAGCTTGAGTTTCACTGTAGAGGCTGAAGTGTGAAACACACCCCTGTCTCTCTGGAGCGAGTGATACAGGCGGAGAGGGGCTTCCTCGGCTCAGAATAGAGCTTGTCTCAACGGTCAGCCGCTCACTAACACACTTCAGCTAGTCAGCACATACAGCAGCGGACACACACAGCCGTCTTTCTCTCGCTCTATAAATACATTTACAGTAGTGAATGCAGCATCTCACACACACACACACACACACACACACACACACACACACAGTCTGTTTTCACACATGTTGTGTCTGAATTCCTCAGTCCTTCACCTGCTGACCACACACACACACACATACACACACTCAGCAGAATCAGCCTCACATGCTCTTTAAAGGTGATGTAAACTCGACGGGAGATAAAGGTTACTCTATTGACTTTCTTAATACATGTTCCTGGTCTTATTGTGAATAATTCATCAGTGACATTATATCTTAAAAAAAAGTCACAAAGAAAAAAACTAAATCAATCTTTCCTCAAAACATAACGGTTATATTTTAGACTAAACTATTGTTCAGAAGTTTGGGGTTGGTAAGATTTTTATTGTATTTGAAAGAAGTCTCTTCTGCTCACCAAAGCTGCATTTACTTGATCAAAAATTGTGAAAAATTATTGTAATTTAAAATGACTGTTTTCTTTATGAATATATGTTCAACTGTAATTTATTTCTGTGATCAAAGCTGAATTTTCAGCATCATTACTCCAGTCTTCAGTGTCACATGATCTTCAGAAATCATTCTAATATGCTGATTTGAAACATTTCTGATCAATGTTGAAAACAGTTGTCATGCTGCCCAATATTTTTGTGGAAACCGTGATACATTTTATTTTTCAAGATTCTTTGATGAAATTGTTGAAAAAACTACATTAACAAACGCAATATGTAATTGTAGGTTGATGCATATGTTTTACGTTTGAAATTTGCATACTGAATTGTGATTGGCCTTCATTCTTGCATCTATTTAATCATTTGCAAGCAATGCAAAGTCTTCGATTTTCATGCATAGTCGACAAAAACCAAAACACTGATGTGAAGTGACACCCGTCACCTTTGACCTCCATCATGCTACACAAACACACACTCATCATCACACACTATGAAACTGTCTCATCTTCTGCTCCTCATTATTTCCAATCATGAGTGTGTCTCACAGCGCCGTGATTTCTCATAATTTAAGTCTTCCGTGGTCTCGCATCTCCTACCAAACATTAATCACATCAACAAAAGACTCTCGTCAGAGGTTTAGATTAGAGGATTCTGGGGCTATTTATAGACGCAAGGATTTTGTCACACAAAAGCCCTCCGGGACTGACACTAAATGGCCTTTGTGGAATTAAAACTGCCATGCGATGTGCATTTTTGTGAGGAAACGGTAAAGAGCAGAGGCCTTTCACAGCTCAGGAGACTTTGTGGATTTCTCATCGGATTTCATACTATTTCTGAGATGTTTCTCCTAAATTATCTCAATGAAAGACAAAAAGTTGTCATTGAGTGAGAGTATAAAGCTATAAAAATGAATGCAGGGAGCAGCTCAGATCATTTGATGAGACTTGAGGACTCAAATTTGATCTTGGCAAATTTGAAGCTCCGTTTGAGACGCTGCTGAGACGTCTCTAGAAGAGACACAGAGATGTTAACATTTACTTGATTAATACGCTCTTAAAAATAAAGGTGCTTCAAAAGGTTCTTCAAGCGATGCCATAGAAGAACCATTTTTGGTTCCACAAAGAACCATTCAGTCAAAGGTTCTTTAAAGAACCATCTCTTTCTTACCTTTTTATAATCTGAAGAACCTTCTTTTCGCAACAAAGAACCTTTTGTGAAACAGAAAGGTTCTTCAGATGTTAAAGGTTCTTTATGGAACCATTTAGACAAAAAGGTTCTTCTATGGCATCGTGAAGCACCTTTATTTTTAAGAGTGTAAGTCCCATTTTTTACATGGAAAATCCTGTTTCTCTCAGAAAAGTCCAATTGGCTTTAAACAAAAGTCTCCATTTGTTCTCCATTTAGTCTCACTGCTGTCCAGGAGAAAATGTTGAAGAGATTACAGAGCAATGATGAGCGTTTAGCTCATAGCTAAACGCTCATCATTAATCATAGCTGATTAAAATAGGAGCAGTCTGCTGTTGTAATGTTATTGGTTTTCAGTGTGGAAACGGCAGGAAAAAGAAAAGCAAAGGAAGGAAACAAGGAGGAGGTCATGATTGTTCTGATGTGTAACAGGCAGAAAAACACAGCTCATCTTTGAATGATTTGGTTTAAACCCGAACCAAGCGTTAGAATCCAGTCCAACGGCAGACTCAACTCCACTGTGAAATAAAGACGTCTCTGCTTTAGCATGTGAATGCAAACACTTCTTGCTACACAAACGCCATTCGTGCATCGTTGCATTATGAAATGTGTATGCAAGTATACTTCATGTAAGTACACTGTAAAAGATGATTTTCCATAACTACTTAACAGGACTACATTTTACAAGAAAACACTATTTCAGTCTTTCTACTTCAACATTTCACGAGCTTCCTAGGTGGAAATTGGACATGAACAGCCTCTCAAGTCATATTTACAACTGGGAAACTCTGACATAATTTTATACCCGAGTTTCTGAGTTGGACAGGCTTTGAACATGGCGGAGGAGATGAAATTACAGGTTGTGTACGTATATAAATATTGTATGTATTAAACAGCGAAAATTAGTTGATCAAAAATTTCTAAAATATCTAGATACAGCAGTGAACGTTTATATGGTTAGCAATGAATGGGACGCTAATCTCTTATTCAAAACCTGTTGGATATTGACTAAATATCTTTTGGCTTAAATAAGATTTCCACAAGAAACAGACAAGAATGAACTCATGAATGAGCCATCCTCCAAGATTCTTGTTCTTCTCGACAACAAAGCACATGAACGCGACAAACTCGTAATTACAACCAATAACACGTGAAGGCAGCATTAGTCTCCCGAGTATGAAAAAAACTAATTGTGACTTTTTATCTCACAATTCTGACTTTTCTCCTCGCAATTCACACAATTATGATTTTTCTTTTTTATTCTGAAGTCATAATTGCAAGATTTAAACTCGCAATTCTAAAATATGAACTCGCAATTCTAAGGGCAAAAAGCCAGAAAAAAAGTGTGAGATATAAACTCAGAAGTCAGAATTGACAGATACAACTTGCATTTCTGAGAAAAATGTCAGAATCGCAAGACATAAACTGATAAGCAAGATTAAAACTCAAAATTGCCAGATGTAAACTCAGAATTGTGATATAAACAGAATTGACAGAATTGTGATTATCTATTTTACTTTTTGATTCCATGCGGAAACAAGCTTCCACACCTGAGCTATAAAAGAGAAATCAATTAAAAATTCCACTAGTTTCTCTAACCCAGTTACCTGAAACCATCTAGTATAATGAAGCCCCCTCACATTCTTGCGATGCATTAGCCAAACATTCATGTCTGCATTCACACACTCACTTAAAGTGTTTCTGGGAAAAGAAAAACAAGATATAAAACTGTCTGCACTGTCACTTCTCTGTCTAAACGTGAACATTCCTGCCCTTTGGGACACAAAGCGAGCATGCTTTAGGAGACTAGAGAGAGATTTTTCTAGCTGCTGACTTCGGTCGGTGGTTTCCAGGTGCTGAGGCCCGGGTCGGGCGACATGGAGGCATGCAGTCGTTCTTGCTGCCTGACCGGACAAACACAAGAGCCACGTCAAACACAACAGATCCCTACAGTCGAGTCCCTGCCCTCCGGTTGCTGTGGGAGCATCCGGAATCCGTCCGATTGGCTACGCCGTGACTCCTGAAGCACGCTGTGCCAGGAATGACGCTCAATGCCTACACAAAAATGTTCCTGAAAACACACATGCACACACACAAAACCACCGGACCAAACTGGTGCATGCACAGCGATCCCAAAAAAAGGTTTTGCACACTTAAAAATATCTCAAAGTCATTGCATATCAAAATGAAGAGTACAAACTTAAACGTGTGTGTGTGTGTTTCCATATTTAAACTGTTTAATAAGCAGCGTGTGCTTGGATCAAGTAGCTAATGCAGGCTTTTCTTTTCATTAACGTCTCACTTGATCTCACTGAATAATCTAGAGAGAAACACTTTCATCATCCCAGAAATACGGCACAACTTCTCCTCCTGAAGCCGTAAAAACAGCTGGAAGCACTTATGATTTTCATTTCGTTAAGTGCAAATATTCAGTTTGGCCACTAGTATGAAGATCTGACCTTCAGTTTGCGTCTCTGGAGAGCAGCAGAAGTGGAGGATTTGATGAGCGATATGTTCAGAATAGCATGCTACTCATACTATTTTTGTAGCATACTGTATACAGTTTGTGAATATTATGCATGCATGGAATACTCGGATGATGTGCATTCGCCAACATGTTTAGTACATGATCACAGCATACTGTATCTCACAATGCAATGTACTTGACTTGATTTTCACATTTTAAATTGCATTAAAAATGCAAAACAACGGAAAACATCAATGCAAAATAATGGCATATTACTGTATAAGAGCTTATTATTGCATAATATGTTCTGTATCACATACTATTACAGTAAACAGCATGCTAGCAATCCATTTTGAATATAATGTTCACTTACACCACCGTTCAAAAGTTTGGGGTCAGTAAGATTATGTAATGTTTTTGAAAGAAGTCTCTTCTGCTCACCAAGGCTGCATTTATTTGATCAAAAATACATCAAATATTATTACAATTCAAAATCATTGTTTTCTATTGTAACATATTTTAAAATATAATTTATTTCTGTGATCAAAGCTGAATTTTCAGCATCATTACTCCAGTCTTCAGTGTCACATGATCTTCAGAAATCATTCTAATATGCTGATTTGCTGCTCAAGAAACATATCTGATTATCATCAATGTTGAAAACAGTTGCTTTGTATTTTGATATATTTTGTTCCAGGATTCTTTGATGAAAAGAAAGTTGAAAAGAACAGCATTTATTTGAAATAGAAATCTTTTGTAACATTATAAAAGTCTTTACTGTCATTTTTTATGCATCCTTGCTGAATAGAAGTATTAATTTCTGACCCCACACATTTGAACATTATTATATTTTCTTGTGTTTAATATTCAACAAATAGACTTTTGACATGATAACATAGTGTGAAAATTATATATGCAGTATGAAATTAAATATGAAACATTCTTATTGGCTGTGATTTTGACATGCAAGCAGCATTTACATTTTTTTAGTGAGGAGCAAAAACATGACTTGACACTGGAAACATGTCGTGTCACGTCTGGTTTGGACACAGTGTTAACTTGTGGACTCAGAAGCATTCTGTTAACTTTCGTCTTTAAATCAGGCTGGATGACGCATTTATGTGAGAGACTGCAGAAGTTTCACAATGATTCTGCACAGAAAGGATCCTTCACTGAATCTTTCTCAGCTAGACACGAACTCAAACGCACTGATTCTCCCATGAATGATACATTTTAGTCAATAAATAAGGAGCAGCTGAAGGTCACAAACCACAAACAGGAGAAGATCCACCAACTCTCAACAAGAACGACAGAAACGTGTGAGACAAAAGGTGCCAGAGAAAATAAACACAACAGGGCCGGCGCATGTGATCAGACCCCCAGCTTAAGTTCAACGTGTGTGTGTCTGAGAGATTACTCTCCACATATGATCCAGTACGAAACGAATCAAACAGGACTTAATGCCTCAGATGTAATGGCTAATGTGTGAGAGATGGAGGAGAGCAGAACGAGGCAGAAGTCGAGCGGGAACCAAACACACTCAATTACTGGATCATAGAAACTCACTAAGCAGAAGAGAGTAAATCCCTGAGATAGAAACCACTGCAAGAGTCTGAGCCGCTCGTGCGTGCGTGTGTGTGTGTGTGTGTGTGTCTGTGTGTGCGTGTGTCTAGTCTCAATTTTAAATTCTGTTAAAATCATCTGTAGATTTTCAAAAAGTGCATGATCACATTTGTAAGCATTTCAGTTTGCATTAAATAATGATTCTGTTAATCATTAGGTAATATTTAATAAGTTAATTAGTAAACATTAACAGGCACATTATTTGTGACCCTGGAGCACAAAAGCAGTGTTACGCTGGGGTATAATATT